TGGGGGGGGGGGGGGGGTATCGTAGAGAATAATTTTCGCAAGGAGCCCTCTAAATAGTAGGGTTTTGGGAGGGTACCTTATGGTATAATTCTAAGACCAACCTTCAACCCAAAGGAGTATAGTTACTTATTGAGGCCTCTAAAGAAAAGAGGACCAAGGATTCAGTCACTTGGTCCTGGCGTCTTTTGCCTGATCTCCCGGCAAGAACTTCAAGACCTGGCTTTCTGTAGGGCTTTTGGGGTTTATACCCATAGGCCTTTAAAGTAGTTCCTTTTTGGGATTACCTTATAGGATTCTAAACATAAACCATAACAAGGAACCACTTAGGGCCTATGGGTATATGCCATAACTCTACAAGGGAATTCTAGGGTCTCTCGGGGAACACACTTTTTATGCTCAAACGGTGAAGGTGTCGGGGCCGGAACAGCTGAGGGCGGAGGCTCTGCAATGCTGGGGTTTTTGGTCTTCTCTGCTTGCGGTACGCGTCTGACTGCAACAATTGGACTGCGATGCACCAGCGTGCCGGATAGTGCAGGAACACATTCAAGCTACGCAAGCGAAGCTCGTAAACCGGGTGCAGCCCGGAGGTGGGGGATGCAAAAGCGGCCCGCCTTGGGAAGTGTTCGGACCAGCTTCAACAAGCTGTCCTCGCGGCGATCTGGAGGACTTGTGACACATCAACCAGGTGGCACACCGCATGCATGAACCAGAAGTGCAGCAGCCATCTGCTGAAGGAGCTGCACAACTACCCTAGCCGTTAGCTATTCATGTGACATCTTACTTCAAGGAGCCCAAGGCTGCAACCACTAGCAGCCGGTGGAATAACGGGCATCCATGCAACCATGCAAGTAGTGCTGTGTTGCAAAGATTGGTTATTGTTTATTGTGTGCATGGGCGGATACAGTGCAAGCACATTCATACTTACGGTGTTGCCAATGTGCTCATCACCGCAGCATTCGTCATACTCGTGGTATTAATCGACATCAAGGTCGACCTTCGCAGGTGGTCATAAAGAGTGTGGTATCACTGCAGTATCAATTTTTTTGAAAAAAAAGGCGCCACAAGAATCATGACATTCGTCAACCAAGACAAGTTTGCTCCCGTCCGCGGTGCCTGGAAGTTCCCACCGGAGGCCGGCTTGTTCTTGGCCAAAGACTTCTGCCTCAAGTCCTTCACCTGTAAGAGCTCTTAAGAGCTTTGGGTCGAAGGTTTAGGGCTCGGTTCCCGGTTGGGGCTTGATGACTGTAGCCCACCGTTCCCAGAGCGGGGATCCGGACGCCAGACTTGCAGCTTTTTCAGAAGCTTCTTAAGGCTCCTGGGGTCTTCCGATGTGGGTTTAGGGTTTAGGGGTTTAGGGTTTAGGGCGGGCTTTGGGCCATAAGCCTCAGTCAGTTTCCCGGTGTGCGGGGTTCCAGCAAAACCGACATGACATGTGGGGTTTCGAAGATGAGGAAGCCCTAATCGATCAGGATCTGTTCTATTGTCGTAAGCTCGCTGACTCCACACCCTCAACCCTCAACCCTAAACCCCTAAATCTAAACCCTAAGCAGTACAGCCATTTCCAGAAACCTACTGTAGGACTGCAACTCCTGTTCTGTTTACAGTTTAGGGTTTAGCCGGTTTAGGGTTTAGGGCTTAGCCGGTTCAGGGTTTAGGGCTTAGCCGAGTTATGAATAGAAGAACGATGAGCACTCTGGCACCATGGGAGTTGATCATAGAAGTCATAGCCACAAGCAGCTGCAAGGCCGAAAAAGTCCATGCCCGGCCTGCTGTGCAAAGTTGCCGAGAGGGCCACCGGCAATCTGTGTCAAGTCGAAGGTGCCAAGCTTGTTCTGCTTCATCACCTCGCTCAGCAAGGAAAAGGGTTTTTTTTTGGGTTCACGCTACAAAGGGGATTGTGGATCCTATGAGGCGAGTCTTTGTAGTTATAGTCAGCAGCACAAGCAGAAGAGACCCAAACCCCTCAACCCTACAAGCCAAGCCTTTGAACCCTCGAACCCTAAAACCCCAGATTCTCAACCTTAAAGCCCCGCCAAGCCCTGTTTCTCGAGCCCAAAAACCTAAACCCTAAACCCTGCCCCAGGGCCCTGTTTCTCGAAGGCCTCAGGCATCGAGGGGAAGCAAAGGCAGGCGTCAAGATTCTCGCGGCGAGGCTCGACCTCGAATTGGGCTTTAGAGCTTAAGGGCTCTTTTTAAAGGCTTTAGGGTTTAAGGGTTTAGGGTGTTGGGTTTAGGATTTTGGGTTTAAGGGTTTAGGGTTTGATGGTGTGGAAGAATTTTTTAGGTTTGATGATTTATCAGAGTTTTAGGGTTTGATGGTTTAAAAGAGTTTAGGGTTTGATGATTTAGACGAGCTTTCGGTTTTTCATGGCTTAGAAGAGTTTAGGGTTTGGGGCTCTTGGCCTTCGGAGTCAGGAGTTTCAGGTTTCATGAGGTTTTGGGTTTTTTTTGGGGTTTTGGGGGTTTTAGAGGCTGTCCCATGTGAGAACAACGGAACAGGATTCGGGGACACATCTTAAGAATCGGAGTTACAAGATCAGGGGGCTAAGTAAGCACATCTATACGTGCAGTAATTGGGGTGATGCTGTAGGAAATTCGACTATAGCCTGTAGTCATTTATTATCTATGTATCACTGATATCCCATGAGAGCCCTACCTGCTAAGCTCCTGACCCATTAGATTCCATTCAAGTACAATCTTTTTGCAGGAACCCTAAACCCTACACCCCAAAACGTGTTGGCAAGCCGCGATCTTCACGAGCTTCTCGGCCAGCTCTTGCACAAAAATCAATGAACCTTGAATGGAAGTGGGGGGTCTGGTCTACAGTGCAGCCATGATTACTGCTCCCGTCCGTAAGGGTTTCGGATTTTGACGGGGGCTGTGCTACAATATAACGCCATGATTCATACACTCCCCCTCCCCTTAGGGGTCGCAGAGGTAGACTACTTATATCAAATCCAGCGCGATTGGGTACTTGGGAACTTGCAACAATGACTCTGACAAGCGCCCTGACTTGCAACGCTACCTCTGGTGTTGCACAGCTCCATTCTTGTAGAGGCACCAGGCAGCTGCTGCCATGGAAAACTGCAGAGGACTTTTAATCTCCTCTTGCATAGGGCATACTGTACAAATCAAAGTGCCGACCAGTTGCAAATGAAAATGTTGGCGTCATCTAAGTCCTCAGCCGAGATGTGCCCAGCCCTAGAGGGCAAGCTTCAAGCGTTCCACAATGGAGACAACATGGGCACAACACACGGCAGCCTGTTGATTCTTTCGATGGTCCTGCGACCTTCCTCTGCCAGAAACTTGTATTGCATTCATTATGTGTGTAGTGTGTAATTTCAATTTAGACTCGTGTCGTTTTTTCCAGTCTGTCGGTTTCAGGGCACTTCGCGAGCTTTTGTTGCACTGATTTCCCTCGATTGGAATGCCTAGAACCCTTAGCCACAACCTCACCCTCTTCACACCCCCCTAAAGAGGACCATTCTAAACCCTACATCTGGATCTCATAAAAAAGGAGTCTTACTGAGAGGCTCTATATCCCCAAGGGTACCTTGCGGCCAGAATTCCTTTGCCAGCTCCTCTTCGCTGGTAGGGTCTCGAATCTCCTGTAGGGGAGCTGAGCACTTCCAGCAGTTGCGGCTGTCACTTGCCCTTGTTGTCTGTTTCCTTGCGATACCTTTCTGAAGTCGAAGGACTGTAGTATAAGGGCCTTAATCATTAGAATAGGGTTCTGGGGTATACTATACTATAAATTATACTCATAAGGGACGTGCAAAATAGCATATTGGTAATTATTTGAGGCCCTGTACTGTAGCATGATGATCCTGTGTCTCAATGTGGCATCCACTTGCCCGGCTGCCTCCAGCAAGTAGCCCACGCACTCCATGCAAACAGGGCCCGGAGACTTGTTGATCTGACGGATGGCAGTAGTCATTGCCTCAGTACACCCGGGCTGCCGGGTTGGTTGCGTCCAGCAGCCAAGACTGAAACAGCATGGAGGCAGCACTACAGATACTAGAGTCTCAGGAATCTAACAACAGCTGAGTGCGCGGCCGACTGATACTGGGACTCCAGAACCACGTAAACCACTTTGACGTACTTCCGACCCTGTCTCTGCGCCTGGCCACGGCAAGGGCAAGCTCATGCAAGACTCCTTCAAGCATGCACACCTGTCGTCCTTCAGGCACGCTTGGGCCCTAGACAGAAAGGAGCCTGCCTCAGAAGGCACAACCCGGCGCGCAGACACATTCGACTGCGTGTAGCCACCAAAGGCACCGCCGGAAACACCTGCCAGCAGAACTGAAACCGTGTAGGCATGCTTTTCACTTGCGCGCCTCAGGTTTCCGTTGAAGAGCTGGGGTTTTACATTATATTATACTATACTATATTATATTAGAAGACTTGTGAAAAACTGAGATCAGCTCGGAGTTTGCAAAGCGACCCCAAAACTGCACTCCCGGGCCTGCCATCATCTCATCCTCCCCATCTGGAGCGTTCAGAGTCTGGCAAGGCAGGGTTGGGTCGAAAGGGGACACAACGGTCTTGTCTTCTTCTTGCTGGCCGCGAGCATCAAGACTTATTGAATCCTTTTGTGGTTGTTTCACATTGATTACAATGGCTCATGCTGACAATCGTCGCGATGAGTCTTGTTCAGCGCTGGTGTTGGTGTGTCTATGACAGTATAGTCATCGCAGTAAGGGTGGCAGTGGCAATGGCGGTAGCAGTAGCCTTTTGTGCAGGTCAAACAAAATCGATGCTCTGAGGGTTGGGACGGGCGCGGGGGTCCGCGACGCACCACATGTCTCCAGAGCATCACAGCAATGGTCCAAAAGCCCCCTCGTGCTGGATAACTCGAGTAATTACCTATGTCGGTAGCCCCTTGAGCTGCCATTTAGAACTCTTGTGTAGAACGCTGGAGAAACTCTCATCTCACTGTCATAGGATGTCGTCATGAGTATCATAACATATCATAAGCTCCCCTGGAACCTGCCTGGACGTCGGCCGTTGCGACACGCAAAGCCGTTCGCCTTGAGCTGCGCTTGGAGCGCTTGGAGCTGGCGCACAGCCCGAGCAGGGATCCACCTGGGAGTACTTTTGGATGCCGCTTCAAGGTCCAACGCTGGACGCCCTGAGTCGAAGTTCCGACAGCAGTGTTAACATAGGATAGCTCTTCTGCAGGAGGAACAGTGGGCCGTATGCTACTTGTATATACGGCTTAGTGGATTAGTACACTAATTATGAAGCTTGGCGTAGTGTTTCCGACAACAAGGGGTACCTTGTTTAGAGGCCCGAATACTAAGGATCCTACTAGTAGGCTTCCATAGTACAGTTCCCGATTATCGGAAACTCTCTTTCTTGTGGCCAAAGCTGCCCATCAAAGCTGCCGGGGCCGACATCGACGCATTGGACTCTGCGCCCTTCGCGGCGCTCTGTGCCGAAGCAGCGCCTGAGCAACTTGGGATTCCTGCTGTTATCATGATGATGACGATGATGACGATGACGATGACGATGATGATGATGATGATTGCGACAGTTGTTTGTTTATTGATGTTGTTATCATCACTAACTATTCACTATTTGTTATTAGTAGTGGTTTTCGGATACCTTCTACTCCAGTGCCTGGATATGCTCCGGGCTACTCCTGGATTGAATATACCCCATGCTCGGAACAGCAAAGGCTACAAGAGAATGCCAGCAAGAAGCGCTGAATCGTTGCATGGCAACGCTGCAACATTGAGGCTTCGATTGAGACAGGTACTAACACCGACATCTGGGTTGCAAACTGAGCTTGCAACCCAGCCGGGCGCGCGCATGGATCTGTGACAGGGACGGCTGGGAGGCGTAAGCAAGACCTGCAGAGACTCGCGGACTTGAGAGGGTTTAGGGAATAGGGTTTAGGGTTCGAACAGCATGGCAAAATCGGACCTGATTCAGTCGCTGCACCAGCATTCGCGGCCATGACAAAGGCCTTCAAGTACTGACAAGCAGGGGGTCTCGTGTGCGTTTTTTTCTCGGCTGCTTATCTAGCTATTGAAGTTTCCCGAATCCGGGTTCGCCGAAGCCTAACTGCGCAAAACATCGGGTTGGAGAGTGAAGCCTTCTTGAAATGAGCTATGTCATCAAAACAAGGCCGCAGCATGTTGCAGCATGTTTGTTCTGTCCCGCTCGGGCTTCACAAGCGGGTCCCTAGCTTTGTCGGGTCCAAGTGAGCCGCTATCGCTCTCATTAACCTGCTGCAGTCGCCGGGGTTTGGCCTTACGAGCCTACGAGCGTGCACTCCACGATAAAATCGATGCTCTGTTCTGGCTTTCTTGTCCGAAGCTCACTGTCGCATATGCAGTCTACGGACTAAGATCCGGTCTACCGACCACACAGTACTGGAATCTTTCACAAGAGTTCACAATGAACTGGATCGACCTATCCTCTGGCAGAGTACGGATTGCGCATGCTGTGCGACCAGGCAGTTGAAACCTTGCTCAGGCAGATCCCTATTCACCCACAGCCCGAATGAAACGGTTGACTGGGCAGCTGCGGAGACATCGCACTGATGTACCGCTAGCGAAAGGCTATGGCGAAGCTAGCACGGAGTTCTGCATCCGTGGAGATGTTCTCACTTGCTAAACCCCTAATTACATACGTGCATGTATGCATGTACGTCCGTATGCAATTACTTACACGCTTACACTTAGATGCCTACAATATAGGCCCGTAATATGTATTTTGAAATGCTGGTAACAATAATAATGGTGATGATGGTTGCCCGTGATTGATGATGTGCCACGGTCTGCAACTGGATGCCTTTCTGGGTTAGCAAATCAAGCGGAGGCTACCAAAGTTACCAAAGACTTCGCTGTGCATGCCATGTTTGCCCTTTACGTATTACGCACTTACATCCTGCCCTGCCGCATGCTGAACACGAGTCGGAGGAAATCGACGAGCCTGGTTGGGCTGGCCTGACATACTCGTGACACTCGCGTCGGGGTTAAAAGTGCGGAGAAATGTGAACAAAATCGGCTGCGACGAGAAATGCATGCCAAGAGCCAAACCACACGAAAGTCATCACGCTCGACCGGTATACTCAGGCTCAGCTCAGGCTGTTGTTTCTTAGGATGGTCTCATGCGAGCAAATGCACTTATGAATCTGATTGCATGCTTGTCAGATACTGCTGCACTGGCTGCAGCTCTATGACTCTATGAAGCTGCACCGCTGGTGTTGGTAAGGCCCGGGCACAGGCATCCCTTGCGAAACTGTCGGAGACCGACTGAGCTTGCAGGACCATATGCCTCAAAGCCAGCACCAGAACAAGGCAGCCGCAGCTGGTTTAGCTCGACTCATGCCATGATGTCGCAATATGTGCTTGCTACGTGCTTGCTACGTACATTTACAACAGTGCATGAAGGAAGCGGCTGGCTCCTCCTGGGACAGATTCAACAAAGGCCTCAAGTTTCACGTACTCAAATCATCAGAATCCCTAAGTTGAACACCCCAAAGAGCTGAACACCCGACTCCCTCAAACCCAAAGACCAAGATCCCGCGCTCCCAAAACAACAACGCGTTTTACAATGCATCTCTGCGGGATTTCGGGATGGGTAAGGGAATGATCTTAGGATTTTGCATGCACGTCGTGCTTGTTTGCAGGGCTCCACAAAGCTTTATGTATAGTGTTCTCATAGAGTTGAAACTCTACTGGGGTTTCTCACTCAACGTACGCAGTACTCCTGCAGACCAGCTCCTTCATTGATCCCGACAGACAGCGACATCTCCTCGCACGGCCGCCGAAGTATACGAAGAGACCCTGCGCTACCCTGGAGAATGAATTTCGCCGGAGCTCGCAATTCGCGGGTGGACCTCGGAAGTTCACAAAAGCCGAGCATGGAGCATGGCATATCTGAGCTTTCGTTATCTGTCTGAACTTTCGTTATCTTGCAGTGTGGAATCAGGACTGCTCCTCGCGCTTGAAGCCCTTGCAACAAGACTTGCAACGTGAGCTGTTCACCTGAGCACCGAATCCTGCACCAGAATCCCAACCACTGCAGAAGTAGCAGTAAGACGTCGTAGCAGTCAAGCAGCAGTGGTGGTCGTGGTGGTGTTGTTGGTGGTGGTGGTGGCGGGAGCGTAGTAGTACTGCTCCGACTTACCACTATAGTGGTCCTACGGTAACAACTGCCAGAAGGTTTGATTGTTTGTCTGTGGAGATCCTGTCTTTGCAGGCGCGGAGGCACATGTATCACCTGAACATGTTTAGTGCACAGACTGCGACAAACACCCCCACAAGCACTCGAAAAGTACGTTATGGAGTCCATGGAACAATAAGAAAGCCAAGCCACCGGAAGGTTGCTGACGAGTTCGCCGCGTGGTGTGAGCTCCCACACCTGAAGCGACTTTATCGCGACCGTCGCGCAGTTCGCACTACAGTCACTACAGAGCATCGCCTCTACCGCAGCTGCTCTGTTGCTACAGCTTGACGACTATTGTAAGTTCAATTCATACACTTTGCTTGCAGCCGCTGCGCTCTCACTCCCGCACCACATAGCTCTTGTTCCGGGTCTGTGAAGATACATGTACGCGAAGCATGCCTACCTAAACCCCCAAAAGCAAGTAAAATCATGGCCCAAGACCCATAAAAGGCTGTTTTTTTTTCATACTTTTGGGGTCCAGGTAGACGCTTCAAACCGACTTTCTGAGGGTCGATCCCCTCCTGGCTTGCGCTCGAGCACCTGCGGAAAGACATGCGATATATGGGTAGTAGAAGGGCCTTAAAAATTGGGTTCCTTAAAGGGATCAGGGTTTCTGTACGGTTTTATAAGGGTACTAGAAGGGCCTTGACAATTAGAACAGGGTTTTGGGGGTTCCTTTAAAGGGTTCTATAAGGGCTATTATTATAAGGGTTTAGGGTTTAAGGGCCTTAATAATTAGAATAGGGTTTTGAAGCCCATTATACTACATTTATATTCGTTCTCGAAGTTGGGGGGTGCCTTTGCAGGTCCCCAATAAGTATAGTAACGCACCTCATAACGAGGACCCTCAAAGGGACCCTAGTTTAGAGAACTACTGGGACTAGTTGCCCAGATAGTACTACCGTCTAGCTATAATGACGCTCAGGTTTAGATCTCGCGACTTCCTAGCTGACTCTCTGTTTATGGCGACGAAAACCCGTCTGAGCACGAATTCTATTGCATCGCTTGGTTCTCACGCGATATGTAAATGCCATTGGAACAAGAATCTGGCCTTCTATTTATCAGATGTTTCAACACACGCGAAAAGTCAGCTATAAAACTGTACGTAGCATGCAACATTCTTAGTAGTGAAGTAGTGACGGTAAGGAGGAGCTCCTACTCGCAATGATAATGTTGACCTCCGCTTTCGATTTACGGTATGGTAACGAACCTTGATATATTCATTACAGCTGTTATGTGTTCGCATTTGCTGGGGCCTGCAACCGGGTCAGCAGCGTCCGGGCTTTGTCAATAGCCTCCAGTGGCGGCCTGTCCTCGGAGGGCTACGGTTAAACGTTGGGAACGCACTGTGTTTGCAGCTGTGCTTTAGTTATGCATACACTGGTTTATATTGTAGTGGAAAATAAACAAACAAAAAAACTGCCGAGCTCAATCCGACCGGGTCTTGGAGGCTGAAGGTTTAAAGGCTTTTGGATGTGAGGCTGATGGAGGGCTGGTGCAGCATCCGGGCTACGACGAACCACCGCACTGAGTGGGATGCGGCATGACAGTTTGAGGCCCGCCCTCCCCCCCCCTCCCCCCCGGCCCATCCCGAAACAACCGCTTTAACATAGGGGCCTTCAGAATTAGAGCAGGGTTTTGGGGATTTACATTATTATACTAAGATTCGGAGTCTAAGGGAAGGTTATGGACCCTTTTCGACATGAAAATACTCAAGGGCTTCCCCGAATCCTGTGCCGCCAGGCAAACTCAGGCTACCGCGATCCAGGGCAAGGCATTGATCTCCTGCTTCCATTGCTGCCACATGTTGACACCCAGAGAACCCAATACCCCTCAGATAAGGAATATACCTTAAATTAGAGGGGCCTTAATATCATAATTTAAGGTATCTTCCTTCATTAAGGGGTCTTGGGTTCTGTGGGCACATGGTTCGGTCTTCTCTTGGGACTCTTCTGATTGTGTGCCTCCGCCGGTTTGCAACAGTCTCGCACTTGTCCTGTATCCGAAGGCTAACCTTTGGGATTATGATAGTAGGGATTCTAGTGATTCTAGTGCTAATGCCCCCAACAACTTACAGGCTACCTGCTCTACTACCAAAGTCTTCCTGCCACATCTCGATCCTGATCGCTGGGGCCCACAACTACAAGTTTCACAGCAGCTCGAGTCATCCTGGGTCGTCGAGTGCCCTGCGACTGTCAGCTCCAGGACCTGCTTGGCACGTTTCAGAGCAGCTAAAGAGGTGCGGCTCTACAGACCTAATCCCTAAACCCTAATCCCTGAGCTCTTAAAGCCCAAGTCCTAAATCGAAATTGCTGAACCCTACGGTTGAAAACTTCTTGAGGTCGGTCATGCTCCGAGTCGTTTTTTCCAAATATGTTCCAAAAATGAGGGATTGAAGATGGTTTCGACAAAGGCGTAGAATGAAGGCCATGGTCTAAACCACAGACCCGCATTCTGAAATCGCCAAGCCCGGGAACTTCGCCACGCTGAAACGAACCTCTTGGAATAACTCTGCAGAACCCCGAAGCCCTGTAAACCTAAAAATGAAGCCAAAGTCTTCTCGCTAAACCTGGTCTTCGTTGAAACGTCCCATTTCCGTCTCGCATGATGCGGGAAGACATCTCAGGGCTGGGCCACGGTTTGGGGTTTAGGGTTTAGGGTTTAGGGGAAGGTTTGAGGGTTTGGAATTACAGGTTTAAGTTTAGGTCCTGATTTAGAGGACGCCATCGTGTGGCACCCCTGTGTGCTCGGGCTCCCACTGGCATAGCCAAGTCCTCGTGG